AAAAAAAAAAAAGATATATGATGGGTTGCCAGAAGAACACACAAATCTGTCTTGTAAGAAGTATAGCCAGATTCTCATTAGAAGACAGGATGGCCAGACTTCATCTTGTAGACTTTGGACATGTTACCCGAAAGAACCAGTTGTCTGGAGGACACCATGCTCGGAAAAGTAGAGGGTTGGTGAAAAAGAGGCAGACCCTTCATGAGATGGATTCACTCAGTGGCTGTAACGATGAGCTCAAACACAGCCAACGACTGGGAGGCTAGCGAACCAGGCAGGGTTTCCTTGTTGAACATGGATGGGGCTGCTATGCACACCAACGGACTCAACGGTACCTAACAATATTCTACTATACCATGCACTGTAATTTCTTTAACCATTCCTCAACTGTTCATTATGTCATTTACATTTTTATACTAGGAATAATAGTGTGATAAAAACTCCTTCAGTTTTATGCAACACTATTTCTTTAGGACTATCTTAAGAAGTAGCTTACTGGGTTAAACAGTGCAGCTTTATTAAGGCTTTTAGTCTACACAATAACTTTCAAATAGTTTAAAAAACTCTTACGTCAACAGAGGAGGCTTAAAAAAGTTGATGAAAAAATTCCATTATCTTTTAATTCTGTTTTTCCATAAACTTTCTGAGGCCCCATCATATATGACTTCACCCACCATATATGACTTCGTTATCAAAAGGATTGCTTTTGATAACGAAGCAGAAAATTCAACCTCAAAGTTATCACACCAAGAAGTCAGGAGACAAATATTACTGATGAGGAAGGCAGATTCAAATTTCTTAAAATGACTCAACATTAAATTGGCAAAATAATTAACAGAAATACTTTCCACAAAAGGTCCATAATGTTTCTCCAAAAACAAAAAGTTTAAAAGAGTGAGAGAAAAGTCAGTACCAAATGACCAAAGATTTTTATTTAACTAAAATCTATTTCATGGGCCAGCATGACAGTCTCCCCTGTTTATTAGACTTTGGCAATTAAAAAACAAAAACACAAAAAACCAAGCAGCCTTGTACAGAACAGTGAAAATGCCAAGGACAAGGGTAGTCTACAGTTTTACTGTAGGATAAATACATATATTTTTAAAAGGCCTCCCTCTCTTTGGCCATCGTCAACTTTCAGTTCAGATCATTAAATAGAGACACTTTTTCAAAGTCACTTCTTCACTTCTCCAAGATCTTCGATGCTGTCATCATCCACCTATAAAATACAAATAATGGCATTTCAGGAATCATGGTGTCAAGTGAGAAAATATGGAAGCAAAGCTGTACACACATTTGTATGGATACACATGGGTCACAGACTCACCTCTGGCCACTTCTCCTGAATGACATCAATTATGTCATCTGTAAAGTCTCCCTGAATGATGATCTCATCCTCTCCTGTTACTGAGGCACCACAGGAAAATTTTTGAGCAAAAAACCTTTGTGCTTCTTTAAGATCAATTTCTGTGTTTTTTTTAAAAGAGAAAGAGTCAGACTACAATTAGCAGTGTACATCAAAGTTATTTTTCAATTTAAAAATCAAACCTGCATTTTAAATTTGTAAACCAGATTGCTTTAATGGGCATCACATCTCTTTCAGAGCAGTAATTAAAATTACCATAGCAGGTGGTCTTAACAAATTAACGTCTATTTTCAAAGTCTATTTAAGTCTCAGTATATGAAAACAACAGCATCACTGACTATTCATAGCTCAAATCATATGAGGGGGCTTAAAAAAGTCAGTGGAAAAATGGAATAAAAGGACAATGAAACCAAAAGAAATCCAGGTATGTATCAATCCCCAGTACTGCATTCAGAGTAGGAGTGAAATTCTGCTGTTTAACCCCTTTTATAGACGGGAACTTCACAGCAGTGAGACAAACCTTCGTATTTGTAGTATGGTCCAGGGATTGCTTCTCAATCTGTGTTGTCCCAGGAAGGGACCTTGGTTACTTTTTCACTATTCACTCAAGGCTTCCAGGGACCAAAGGAACTCTGAAGTAGAACATTTTCCTGCTACCCAGCTGCTCTCACTCTTTACACTATTTTAAAGCAGGGATGGGGATTGTCTGGCCCACCAGCCATATGTTGTTGTTGTCAGGTGCCATCGAGTCGGAACCGACTCATAGCGACCCCATGCACAGCAGAACGAAACAATGTCCGATCCTGGGCCAACCTCACTACCGCTGCCACACTTGACGCCATCAATGATGTCACCTGGCTGATCCATCTCGTTGGGGGTCTTCCTCTTTTTCTCTGACCCTCCACCTTACCCAGCATGACATCCTTCTCCAGCGACTTTTCTCTCCGGACAATGTGTCCAAAGTATGAGAGACGAAGCCTAGCCATCTTGGCCTCCAAGGAGCACTCTGGTTGCACTTCCTCCAAAACAGATCTATTGGTCCTTTTGGCAGTCCACGGCACTTTCAGTATTCTCCTCCAACACCACAACTCAAAGGCATCAATTCTTCTACGATCCTCCTTATTCACTGTCCAGCGCTCGCATCCATATGAGGTTACTGAAAATACCATGGCTTGGGTCAGGTGCACCTTAGTCCTCAAGCTGCCATCTCTGCTCTTCAATACTTTAAAAAAAGTTTCTGTGCAGCAGATTTGCCCAATGCAATACGTCGTCTGATCTCTTGACTGCTGCTTCCATGAATGTTGACAGTTGATCCAAGAAGAATGAAGTCCTTGACAACCTCAATCTCTTCTCCATTGATAAGAATGCTGTTTATTGGTCCAGTGGTGAGGATTTTTTTTCTTTACATTGAGTTGTAATCCCTACATAAGGCTGTGCTCTTTGATCTTTATCAGTAAATATTTTAAGTCCTCTTCACGCAAGGTTGTATCATCTGCATATCTCAGGTTGTTAATAAGTCTTCCTCCAATCCTGACGCCACGTTTTCCTTCATAGAACCCAGCTTCTCGTATTATTTGCTCAGCATACGTATTGAACAAGAATGGTGAAAGAACACAACCCTGTGGCACACCTTTCCCAATTTTAAAACATTCAATGATTGAATTGCTGTGATTCTGAGGGCTATGCCACCGGTATTTTAAATAACCAGCAGGGTCACCCATGGTGGACAGGTTTCAGACGAGCTTCCAAACAAAGACAGACTAGGAAGAAAGAATGACAAACTACCTGAAAACTCTATGAATAGCAGAGAAACCGGCCATATAAGGCCTGCGAAATCATTTGGTCTTGCCCTGACAAGACAATGGCAATTCCAGCCATCATATTAAGGGTGAGTTAATTAAATGTTTGACCAAATAGAGAGGCTAAGTTTGAATTTATTACTTTTGTATGGTCCATGAATTTTATAAATTTTGGCAGATAAAAGGGTCCCCATCACTGCCGTAGGGATGAATCACTGCCAACCTTCTGCCATCAGTAGTTTTTGCAGGGCATCTCAGCCAGCCTTCCTCATCCTACGTAAAATGTGCCCCATCAGACATTCCAGAAAGAAATAGCTTATACCAGTCAGTCCCTTCTGCAAAAGATTTTAATTTATCCACAAACTGATTCTGAAGCTATAGTTCCTAAAGCAAACCCTCATTCTGTATTTTGTTAGTAAAAACCAGAGCTGTAAAGTTTTCCTGGTGCCAGATTAAAAACAAGAGATGGAACAAAATTCACACGTTATTTTAAACTATTTAAAATGGAAGTGAACTCACCAAAAGTAGCAAGGCCACACACTCTTGTTACATATTTCTTCTTTGCTCTGGGGATTTTGGCTATTGTCACCTTTTGTGGTACAGTCTTCTTTTTCTGTTTTATTTGACCTCTTCCACCTTTGTTGAATAAGAAAGTGCTCAGCATGAATTTAACATAAACAATGACAGAACACTGTATGTTTAAATTTGTTCATTTCCAAGAGGTACCAAAGATTAATCCTTACAGTTTTTTTCTAATACAAAATTAATAGATACATACATGAGTATTCATTCAATAAATGTTTATGTACCTATGTATGCCAACCACTCCATTACGGGCTGAGGACACAAACATGAACAGAACATAGTCCCTGCCCTCCTGGGACTCCAGTCTAGCAGAGGAAGACAAAACACATTACATAATGACAGCTATGTGACATGTGTTGGAGATCCATGACCACCACACTGCCACAGCTTTGCTCACAACGGCTTTACTTCTCTGCAGCTAGAGGACAGAAGAGATTCCTGTTCCCAAAATATTATGACATAATCCTGACAGAACAAGTAAGTATACCCATACTGGGCCTGGAAAGATAAGGAAGTGTCCAGGTGCAGGAAGAAGGGCTGAGAGGTGTATGAAATCTTGGATATTCCCAGGAAAGGGAATAAGTGTATGAATAAGAAAAGACATTGTATTTAGGAACTACATTTTGTTACGACTCAAGGATGTTGATGGATATGAGGTAGATGAGGACAGAAAAGCAGATTACACATGAGTAGTAAGAGGCTCGTACATCAAACCTGTGACAACTGGACTGTATACTATGGATGAGGAGAAGCCATCAAAGACTATGCACACAGCAGGTGAAATGACCTGACTCATGTCTTATCAGGGTCCCTCTGACTACAGTGTGGGGGTGGCTTTGTGAAGGAGAAGGCTGAGAGAAAAGCCACTGACGACACTCTCCATTTCTTCAGGCAGAAATTAATCAAAAGCTTAACCACAGCAGAGGCAAGAGTAATAGAGAAAGGCATACGGAGGAGAAACAGCAGAATTCCGAAATGCATTCAAGGGGGTGAAGTTAAAAAACCTTTCAGGTTTGTGACTTCAATGCCTGGATATAAACAATGCTTTCATTAAGCAAGATGTAGTATACATGATCGGTGATTTAATTTTGGAAGTGCTGAGTTTAGGGAACCTGGAAAACACAAGCCAAGTGAACAGTGGTGGCAGAAGATAGGGATGAGGCAGCAGCATCCAGAGAGAAAGGGTATAAAGATAATGACAGAATCTTGGGAAACACCAGCCTTCAAGAGACAGAGGAAGAAGTCTACACAGGAGCCTGCTAAGTAGGGAAAAATTAGACCAGACCACCACAGAAAACCAAGGCAACATAATGCTTCCAGAAGACGGGAGTGGCCAAATGCTCATTCTACTGAGCAATCCACCCAGTCACCAGGGACTACCATCAGAAGGTTTGCATGTTGTGAAAGTCAGGCTGGGATGAACCAAGGAGGGAACTGTGAACAACAGAATACAAAGTGGGATACTGAATCTATGCTGGCTAGGAAGGAAAAACAGGGTAGACAAAGACATGGGCTCTTTGGAGATGAAAAGTTCCTAAAGTACTACAATCTGATGTTTGTCACAGAAGAGAAAAATGAATGAAGCAGCAGTCGGAGACCGGGTGCAGAGTGTGTGCTGCCAGTTTAGTTTTGGAAGAAAAGAGACTAGAAAGACACACACAACAGCTGTAAAAGTATTCTACTTGGCTATGAGAAGTAACAAGAATACATCTTACATAAACATATTCACTCTAGTTAAACAGCCCACACAAGGTAACGAGTTGTTAAGGTCATAACCAAGCTGGCTGATCAGAGGAATAAGCACGCTTTCTTAGATCTAATTTTCTAAGAAAGATTACAGCACATGTCACATCTAAGTATCCCCCTAAGAGTATAATTTTGTATCCCTTTGACTAGGCAGACATCCATTTTGGGAACTCTTTTAATATTAGATAGAAAATCAAAGAAAAGGCATATGTTTACAAATCTAAACACAGACTTCAGTCTTACCTCTCTTTTGTTTTTTCTTCTCCTCCTCTTCCCCTGCCGTTCCTTGACCCTCAATAATTCCAGCTTCTTGTTTGGGCGAATTTCCTAGATGTACAAATGAGATCCAAAAGCATTAACATCACTCATACTGACTGCCTTTAATAAAAGACATCATCCTTTAAGCAACGTTTATACACTAATAAAGCAACTAATTTACCAACAACTCAATGTGACATTTAGAAAGCAAATGGCTTTTTGCTAGACCTCTATTCAGCAACTTCTGACAAGCCAGTATGGTGTCTCGATTCCACAGACGCCATATAGAAAGGAAAACAAAAAAGCCTCAGATACGTGAAGATTAGGATGCATTAGCCATGTAAAAGCAGCACAAACCACTGGGCTCTGTAGTGGTGATTAGCATTTCAAGATACTAAATTTGGTTAACAGGAAGTTGGTCCCAAATGAGAAGAGCCTCTTCCTCCTGAAGTGTCCATTTTGTCCTGGGCAGGTTATGTCCACATCAGACTATCTCAGTGACCACAGCATGAGACAATGGCTCTTATCTAACTGAGTGATGGAGCAGTGACTATCCAAGAAGCCCCTATCACATTACGGGTTGGGGACTCATGTTGTTGTTAAGTGCCATTGAGTCAATTCCGACCCACAGCGACCCTGTATAGGGTTTCTGATGAGCAGCTCGTGAGCTTGAACGACCAACCTTGTAGTTTACACAACTTTGCAGTCTGACGCATTAGCCCACAGTGCCACGCCAAGACTCCTTGGGGACTCACAGAAACCCAAAAATTAAAGCAGCAAATGTTGCTATTGTTAGATGCTGTCAAATCGGTTCTGAGTCATAGCGACCCTATGCACAACAGAATGAAACACTGCACCATACTGATCCACTACTGACAGTGGCAGTGGGCTCAAACACAACTGGGAGGATGCGGCAGTGTTTTACTCTGATGTGCATGTCCACAGTGGGGCAATACTGAGTGTACCTGGAGTCCTGGTATAGCACTGTGAGTTAATGCACTGGACTGCAAAATTGGTTTGAACTGCAAGGTCGGCAGCTGAAGCTCACCAGCCGCTCCTCAGAAATCCTATAAAGGTTTGCTATGCGTCCGACAACAACTGGGTATATTTAAGGAGGCTTATTCCCAGCTTTGAGTCGGAATCTACTCAGTGGCACTTAACACAACAACATTCCCAGCTTTAGGAGTCATGCTGGGCACAACTCAGCCACTAACCAAAGGTCAGCGACTCAAACCTAGTGGGTTTGAACAGCTCTCCAGGAGACAGACATGGCAAGCGACCTTGAAAACCCTATGGGGCAGTTCAAACCTGTCCTATAGGGCTGCTACGATTTGGCACCAACTTGACAGCAATGGGGTGGGGCTTGTTCCCAGCTTAGGCATTCCATTCTTTCTGCTGCCACCTTCATTTTTACCAAGATGGTGCTCAGCCCTGACTTGCCTTTCACATTTCCATCTTGGTCTCTGTTATTGTGGCCCTGACGGAGTCACACCGAGAGGAGCTGCTACACTGCTGTTTTTTATACCTCAGGGACCAGCAACTCCATTCTTCTAGATGCTTGGACCAAACCTTAGGTGTCTTTTTTTCTCCATACCCCACTCACACCACATGAAAAGTCTTCAGTTCTACCCCCAGAACCTAACCATCTTTCACAGCCTCCACATTCGGATCCAAGTTGAGGTCATCTTTTGATCAGATGATTCCAACAGCCTCGATCTAGTTTCCCTGTTCTTCAGCCTAGGCTCCTTCTGTGTACTCTCACCAGAGCTGTCAGCCAAAGTGATGCCATAAAAACATCCTCTTCTGCTCCAAGCCTTCCAGTGGCTCATCTCACTTACAGTAACGACAGGACTTTACATGGACAAGATCTCTCTCCCCCACCACTCTCCCCCTCCCCCCGCAGTTACCTACCCAATTTCACACTCCACCCACTGAAGTTAGCTCCCAGACACAATGGCCTCCTTGCTGTAAACTTTGGTCCCAGATACTTTAAACAGACTGTACCCTCTGCTTGACAGGGTTTCTCCTGGTACCCACATACTCATCCCCTAGCCTTCTTTAGGTTTTTATTCAAATGTCTTCTTCCCTGATCCCACTATTTACGATTTCAATTTCCCTCCCCAACATTTCCTCTCTCTACTTCCCTACACATCACTAGATTTTTGTTGTTGTTTAAGGTAAGTTCTGTCACTACTTATGGTTTATTAACTTTGTTTCCCTTTTTAGGATTTAATTTCCACAAGAGCAGGGATTCTTTTAGTTAATGTGTTACCCTCAACAACTTTACAAAACAGTGTGTAGCACATACGAGGGGCTTCAAAGTCAGTGGAAAAATGGAATGGAAAGGTAATGGGATTTTCTCCCAAACTCACTGAAGTCCCCCTTACAATAGATTCACAACAAATAATTTGTTAAATGAATCAGTAACATGAATATTTACCTTATAATTCACTTATTCTTCTTTATGTAACTTGATACTTACATAGTTTTAAAGCTAATCGTTACTGTTGTTGTTAAGCTGGAGTCAGTTCTGCCTCTTAGTGACCCTATATAAGGTTTCCAAGGAACAGCCAGTGGGTTTGAACTGCTGACCTTGAGGTTCAAATGGATCTTGTGGTCCAGTGTTTAACCTACAGCATCACACCAAGCTGACTCTTTATTAGATCCAAGTAAAACTAACTCTGTTAGTACTAGAGGGGAATTTTCTTATTTTAAAATATGTCACACATGCATTTGTTTCAGGTTACAAAAGGCTTAATGAGAAAAGAGAAAAATACATTCTTACCTACACTAAGCTTTGCAAACTCCTTCGGAAAATTCTTCTCTAACCATTGTCTACATTTAGCAACATCAGGCATATATTCACAGTACTGGGGGAGAAAAATAAAGATAAATATAAACATTTGAAAGTCACAACAGAATATTGTTAGATAAGTGACACATTTCAGTTAAAAATCGTTCCCTGTAGCTGCTGTACAATAAATGATTTAACTAGCTACCTGAGTTAGCCACAGGAAATCTCTATTTGGCCAGGGCCAGGAAATGTCCTGTACAAAATTATAAATGAAGAACAGGATCCGGCTTCACTTCACTGAATCAACTGATTTCATTTCTATCAAATATAAAGGCCATTAGAAAAAGGTCTGCAATAAACAAACAAAAGCATGCTTGCCTGGTCTTGCTTTGGGCACAGGTGCCTCATTATCTTCCTGGATTGTCATAATTTGTTCTGCCTGATTTAGAAGCTAATCAACACAATGTCTTAAACATCATTTCTGTTCTTCCTTTCCTCTGCTTGGATATGTAAATATTGGCTTTATGATTACCCTTATGAAGGAGACCAAAGACTCAAAGAAGGAACGAGTCCACAGACCCAGGCACACAATCAAAGGTCCCAAACAGAATGGCACGACAAGTAGAATAAAATTCAAATTCCTAAACAAAGTCAGAACTACTGGAACAGTAAGAGACTAGAGGAACCCAAGAGTATCACCTTTTAACTTGGAACTGAAGCTATTTCTGCAGGTTACCTTTCAGTCAAGTAAAAGACTGGCTCATAAAATAGTATCTTCGCTTCAACAGGTACTATGTGAGCCCAAATGGTCAACAGTTACCCAAAAGCAAAGATGAGAAGGCAAAGAAAGGAAACTAGATCAACGGAGACAGAACAAGCACAATGAGAATGCCGACACTATGAAGCCTGTCACAGAACTACTCATGTAACACATGTTAAAGGGGAACCCAACATGCTAAGTAAAATTTCTAAGAAAACACAGTAAAATTGAAGGGGAAAAACCCAAACAAAATACACTGTTCTTATGTTTTATACGCTGGATATTCATGAGTTCCATACAAAAATCCAAACTGTATCATGAACTGAAGAAGATTCACATGGATGAGTCAAAGTCTAAAGAATTTATAAGATCCTAAGAATTGTTCCAAGTCAAAGTTCTCTACACCTGTTGTTAACTCTGGCTCACTGCAACTCTGTAGGTCAGAGGAGAAGCGCCCTATAGAATTTCCTTGGCTGTAATTTTTGTGGAAGCAGGCTGTCCTATCTTTCTCCTGTGAAATGGCTGCTGGGTATTGCGAACATTTTGGTTAGTAGCTCAACACTTAACCCCTATGCCATGAGGGCTCCTGTCAGTTCGCCATAAGAGGTTGAAACTCCACTACTGAATGACAGAATATAAAAACAGGAGGAAACAAAAGTTTCCAAGTTAGCTCCAAAATGACCTCAAGTACAGTAAAAAAGAAACATCCCATCTGTATGACTTAAACAAAAAAACAAAAAAAACTGAATCACAATAATATTAACTGGTCTTTCAATACGTTTATATTATTTTATATATATTATTTTAATTTTGCACCAGCTTTATAGAAATGTAATTTACATACAGTGAACTGTCATTTAAAGTCTACCACAAAAAACGGCAACTAACAACATTGACATCCATATTCTTGCTATTGCTATCATTATTATACAGTAGGCCCTCCATATCCACATGGATTCAATCAACCATGGATAAATAATATCTTGGGGGGAAAAAAGTAATCAAGTGGTTGGCACAATCCCTCAAAGGCTACGAGGAAGCATAACGTGTCATTTACATAGTACCTGCAATGCATTAGGTATTGTAAGCTATCTAGAAATGACTTAAAGTCTACAGGAGAATTACATTGGTTATATGCAAACACTACACAGTAAAGAGCTTAAGCATTTCTGGGTCTTGGTATGGGGGCATTGTTCATGGAACCGGTCCCCCTTGGGTACCAAGGGATCGCTGTACTACTACTATTATTATTACTGTAAGAATTAGGGCCCTGATTCTCCCACGTCCCAGCTCTCTGAGATCATGGGCAACTCACCTTCCTGCTTCACTCAACTTCACCTTTCTCCTTCATAGAATCCAAGAAACAAGAGCACCTGCTCCAGGAGCCGAGTACAACTTCACTTGTGATCTCTACAGATATTCTATTCAGCACCTACTGCATGCCAGGTACCATTTTAGGGCTCAGGATTTTTAAAAAGGCTCTCAACTGCCTAAGTTAAACAAGAACAGAATTTTAAAAGGACTTACCTCTGTTGGTAATGAACAGACTAGAAAAAGAGGAAAAAAAAAAAAGAAAATTTAAATACATATTCACACATGGCTTGTCATTACATTTATTTCAAATTTTTATAAAAACACTTCATTTCTACTTTCTTCCTGTAACTTTTTATGTACCATACTTTACTTTTCAAATGATTCCCTTCATGGCTTTTTTTTTTTTTTAAGGTAAACCACACACAATTATCAGAGGTACTTTTTATTTTGATTTTTTTATTTAAAGAATGTTCCCTTCAGTCCGATGTGGTGTTTTTGCTATATACTCATAAACTCAGTCTAATCATAAAAAAAAAAAAAACAAACAAATTTTATCATTATAAAACCAAGAACTTCTTCACTTTTTTGTACGTAGCTGTTGCATGTATATAGGGCAATCTGTCTTTATCACTGTTGTTGTTTACTGCTCCTGTATAGTTTCCAAGGAGCGGCTCGTGAGCTTGAACTGCTGACCTTATAGTCCAGTACATTAACCCACAGCACCACACCAGGACTCCCAAAAGCCTGCAGTACCTGGTACTCCCAGGTGGTCTCCCATCCAAGTACTAACAAGGCCCGACCCTGCTTACTTCTGAGATCAGACAAGATTGGGCGCATTCAGGGTGGTATGGCCAAAGACAATCTGTCTGTAAGTAAGGGAAATTACTGCCGAAGAAATGAAGCCTAAATAGTTTTTCTTTGTGCCTTTAAAAACTTTTTGTATTTAAAAAAAAAAGAAAAAAATCAAACCTAAAATTAAAGACAGGAGAAAATAACTGATCTGTATTCTTCAAAATATCAATGTCATAAAATACAGACTCAGAAACTATTCTAGATTAAAGCAGACTATGGAGTGCTTCGACTCTGCACACATAGCCTCTCCATGAGTCCGAATTAACTAGATGACAACTAGTAACAAAGCGACATGTCAATTGAATGCAACATATGGCTCTGACTTTGTTTTTTTTGCCATGTTGTTGTTGTGAAGTGCTGTTAAGTCAGTTCTGACTCATAGCAACCCTGTGTAAGGTTTCCAAGGATCAGCTGGGTGGGTTTGAACAACTGGCCTTGCAGCTTATTCTTGTGGCTTATCCTACAGAACCACACCAGGATTTGCGTTTTGTCATAAAGGATATTATGGGGACAAATGAGAAAAATCAGAGTAAGGTCAATAGATTAAATAATGGTGGTTCCAACTCACAGTGACCCTATATACAGTTTCTGAGGCTGTTAATCTTTATGGGAGCAGAAAGCTTTATCTTTCTCCCACAGAACGGCTAGTAGTTTCAAACTGCTGACCTTGAGATTAGCAGACTAACTTATAACCACTATGCTACCAGAGCTCCTATAGATTATATAATAGCATTGTTTTACTGTTGAGAGAGCATGTGTAGAAACGTCATAAATCTGGATGCAAGATATCTAGGAATATCTGGTACTATTCTTACAACTTTTCTATAAATCCAGAATTATACACAAAATATAACTGTTGAAGTTTGGTGGAGGTTAGAGATGTTCCCTACGAATCTTTTTTCTGTAAATTTAAATATTTTCATAACTAAAAGTGGGGGAAATCAATGTAAAATTTTATTAAGAAAACAGCAACATTCCAAGGTGCTAATAAAAAAAATTTTTTTTTTTTTTAAAAACCTTTCCAATTCACAAACCTCTGTACTGAAAGTTGAGGAAAAATACTCAAGGCAAAATAAAAAATCTGGACAACTCAGCTTGGTATTTAAGGTCCCACATGTTGCTGTCAGTAAGTGATGGTCCTGACCCATAGCGACACCTGTATAGGGTTTCTGAGAGGAACTTGGTGAGCGTGAACTGCCAACCTTACAGTTCTAAATGACTTTGCAGTCCAACGCATTAACCCACAGTGTCATATCAGGACTCCCCAAATCGAATTTCCATCCTATTCAGGCTGTTCTTCTCACAGATCCCACATACCCAAACTTTCCCAGGCTTTTCAGCCTCTCTTCCTTTGCCCTGGACATCATTCTGCCCTTTTGCATTACCTGAACGCTAGTTTTTCATCAAAGCCTGGTTCAATTGCAGCAGTCTCTGTGAAGTCTTCCCTGATTCCCTACAACTGGAAGAAATCGGTCCTTCCCTTACACTGCCACTAAACTTGACTGCTACCTTTCAACATTCGCCAACATCCACCTCGTGTAAATTACGACTAAGCAGAGCTATGTCAGTTTTTTTTTCAGGCACAAAGCTTACTTAGCTCAAGATCTGAAACATCATAGCTACTCAATAACTGTGTGTTTAGTCAATACTTTCATCCTCTTTGTAAAGTATCAATCCAATGCCATCAGCCTTTTCGTTATTTTCATAAAGTGGTAGTTGTTAACTGCCAGCGAGTTGGTTCCAACTCACAGCAACCCTGTATAGAGATTCCGAGGAAGAACTGGTGAGTTTGAACTGTCAACCTTGTGGTTTCCAACCGACCTTGCAGTCTAGAGTATTATCCCACAGTGCCACACCAGGACACCTTGTATAGGGGTAGAAGGCATCTAAGAGGTACAATACAGACCTATCTCTATCCTGGTGTGGTGCTGTAGGACACGCAATGGACTGCTAACCACAAGGTCTGTAGTTCAAACCCACCAATTGCTCCTTGGAAACTATATATACGGTCGCTGAGTTGGAACCAACTTGACGGTACTTTAACAACAATCATTGGTTTGATCAACAAAATAGCACCCCATAGGGTTTTCAAGGCTGTGACCTTTCGGAAACAGATTACCATGCCTTTCTTCAGAGTCTCTCTTAGTGGGTTCCAAAAGGCAACCATTTATTTAGTAGTCAAGCACTTATTCAATTGGACCACCCAGACTCCAAAATTGTGTTCACAGCGTTATCCTGGATACTGACAGAAAAGCAACTCTCAGTCGTTTCTTCTCAACTCCTGAGACCATGAAAAGCAGGTCCTATCCTCTGCTCTCATGTTGTTGTGTGCTGATGAGTCGATTCTGACTCAGTGACCCTAGATGGTGGACTAGAACTGCCCCCAGACCGTAACCCTTATGGGAACAGATGACCAAGTCTTTTCTCCTGGAGAGCAGTCAGTGGGTTTGAACTGTGAACCTTTACAATGAGCAGTTGAGCACATAATCACTGTGCCATTAAGTCTTCTCTACTCATACAGGCTTTCAACTTGAAATCATTCCACAAGTAACCATGACAAAAATTTACAGCCAGAACCTTTATCCTAAAAGTAACATTTTTGCTCTTCAATATTTTAGAAATGGCATCTTGCAGTTGTTTTGCCCAGTGCAAAATAGAATTCATTTTTTGGTTATTGCTTCCATGGGCACAGATTATGGATCCAAGTAAAATGAAATCCTTGACAAATTCACTATTTCCTCCATTTATTATGATATTGCTATACTGGTTCAGGGATCTCTGTTTTACGGTGTAGGCCATATTGAAAACTTTGAACTTCCTAAGTAAGTGCTTCAAGTTCTCTTTGTTTTCAGCAAACAAAGTTGTGTTCGCTGAACATTGCAGTTTGTTAATTAACCTTCTTCTACTTCGGATGCTATGTTCTTCATAAAGTCAAGTTCTCAAGTTATTTGCTCAGCATACAGATTAAGTACGGTTAAAGCCGATATATAAATGAATATGTATAAAACCTATACATAACCCTGATGAACACCTTCCCAGATTTTAAAACATATTGTTGTTAAGTGCTGTTAAGTTGGTTCTGACTCATAGCGACCCTGCATAGAGTTTCTGAGGAGCAGCTGGCAAGTATCCTTTTATCCTGCTCGAAAAACTGCCTCTTAATCTACGTACAGATTTCCCATTAGCACAATTAAGTGTTCTGGAGTTTCCATTCTTTGCAATGCTGTCCATAAATCGTTATTACAACACAGCTGAATGCCTTTGCATAGTCAATAAAACACAGGTAAACGTAGCGTAGTGGTTACAAATCGGGCTGCTAACCTCAAGGACGGCAGTTCGAAATTACCAGCTTCATTCCATGCTGTCTTCCGAATCTAGCTCAAATTTTTGCAGTTTCCTGTTGATGTATTGCTGCAACCATTTTGTTTTTCACTAATGCAGTTTGGACTTCTTCCTTCAATGTCATCGGTTCTTGATCATGTGCTACCTCCTAACATTGATGAATGCAGATCCATTCTTTTTGGTACAGTGACTGTGTATATTCCGTCTTCTTTTGATGCTTCCTGTGCCAATATTTTGCCCATATAATCCTACAATGAAGTCCTGGTGTAGCGCTGTAGGATAAGTACTGGACCACAAAGTTGGTTTGAATTGCAAGGTTGGTGGTTCAACCCCACCAAGCACGCCTCAGAAACCCTACACAGTTGTGGCAAAGAATGGGAATGTCCAGCCCACAGGTCAAATAAGGACCATGACATCACTTGGTCTGACCCTGCCAAGGCAACCACAGTTCCAGTCATCACACTGTTGTTAAGTGCTGTAGAGTCAGGTCTGACCCATAACAACCCTGTATAGCAGGTTTCCCATACAGGGTTGCTATGCATGAGCTTGAACCGTCGACCTTATGGTTCAAATTGACTTTGCAGTCCAACAAATTAACCCACAACCCCACACCAGGACTCCAGCCATCACATTGTTATTAAGTGCCATCGAGTTGATTCCAACCCATAGCGACCCTGTATAGGGTTTCTGAGGAGCAGCTAGTGAGCATGAACCGCCCACCTTGCAGTTCAAACAGCTTTGCAGTCTGGTGCATTAACTCACAGCATCACACCAGAACTCCAGCCATCTCATTAGGGGTGAGTTAAGTTAAACGGATGATCAAATGCAGCAGGCTAACTTTTAAGTTATAATGCCCATGAACGATGTTATAAACTTTGGCAGAACAAAGTTCCCCACCCCTGCTACACAGGATTGCTATGAGTCAGAAGTGATTTGACAGCACTTCAACAACGCTTCAATAATGCAACTCTAAGCTTGAAGTTTTCCTTGTTCTTTCAATTTGAGAAATTGCAAGTGTATTCTTTCAGTTTTCTAACTCTACGTCTTAGCACATTTCATTATATTTTACTCTGAATTCTTTTTTTCAGGTCTTTTGCTATATCATTTCTCCCATTTGCTTGAGTAGTAACAGAATGAGCCCGTTATATGTAAACAGTATAACACCTTGTGTTGTTTCCGACTTGCCCCATGCCTATTACATGTGAAAACAGGACATTCTCCATTCAAGAGACTGTCTTCTGACATCAAATTTGTTCTTTCCTTTTTGGTGACTTTTTGCTTTTTTATGTGTAATGTTCTTGAACCCATCCCACAACTCGCTTGGTCATTAGTGTTCAATGCGAAAATCTATTCTTGAGATAATCTCAACTCTGCCATTCCAATTACTGGTATTACTAAAACAGCTTTACTTGATCAGTTGCAGACTGGGAAATTGGTAAAGATCTTCAATTTCTTCATCTTTGCCGTTAGTGGTTGGCATGTAAATCTGAAGTCGCATTACATAATGAATCAAATCAAAACTTTCCCTCCTAAGATCACTATAGTGCCCATCACTCCAAACTCATCTTTTCTCACTCCTTAACTGATACCTACACCACGCTAATATAGAGCTGCTCATATTTCCACAGACATGCATCAAGCATTTCTTTTCTTGCACAGCTGTTCTTTCCGTGATATCCTTCTCTACTTTTTCATCTAGTCCTTAATGTCCCCTAAGGCATCTTCCAAAAACTCCTCCTTTAATAGCCAGACTAGCAGTTAAACATTAGGCTGAAATTATCTATTTGCATATCTCTAGTAGACTTCTGGTGTGGCGCTGTGGATCAGGACTGGATGGTGAACCACAAGGTTGGCAGTTCAAATCCACCAGCGGCTCCTTAGAAACCCTATACAGTATCACTAAGAGTCAGAATTGACTCAATGGCAATTAACAACAACAACAAATGGCAAAGAGATGAACAAAGCCTAATCGAGCCAAACGTGAAATTATGATCTCAGGGCATAAACAATATAGAAGGCCATTTTCTGCCTTCCAAACACTTGCCTCCACAATAAAGGACTCGGAGTGGGTAATCTGTATCTAACTTGGCATTACTCTTCAGCTCTCCTTTACAATCGTGCACACTGGACTCAGAAAGGTCAGCAGCCATCTCACAAACCTGGAAGCAAGGAAAATAAGACATCTTCACTACACTGGACCAACAACCCCCCCCTTCTCCTCCCACCTGAACTCCCTTCACCCCAAATGTTTCAATTCTGTTAATTCAGGAATACACACTGCATCATGAGCAAATCTGGATGTAACACTGACCAGAACCACAGGTCTACAGTGAAGGAAAATGCAACAGTGAGACTCCTAGCAACTGCCCCGTGTGGGGGGAGGGAGTGTGTGGAGTAGGGGAGGGTTATGGAGTGGGGGGCATAGGGGACAGTACAGAGTAGAAGGGAGTAAGGAAGGGTATGGAGTGGGGGGAGTAGGGGAGGGTATGGAGCGAGGGTTAAGGACTCATGAGAAAGACGAGCCAAGGGAAAGGGATGAAAAGGATGAGAAGGGTAAACACTAGGCAAAGATTTGGGGGTGATCTGGGAGGGGTGCAAACTGCAGCAAGAGAAAAAAGCAGTCAACACACAGTCGGTGATGAAAGGTTGAATTAACCCAAGGAGAGAGGTGTGGCAGGGTGGGGGAGCCAAGTGCCAAGGGAGACGCACAGAGTCAAGAAAAGGAGTAGAGGGGGGCAGGGAGACCAAAGCCTGCGGCTGAAGGGAGAAAACAGAGGCAGAAGAACCAGGTGGGGTTAGAATGTAAACGCACTGAGGCGACGAGGACGGCCAGGTCTGATCAGGGAACGAGGTCTGGAGACAACAGGGCAACCCCGGGGATACTGGAGAGGCCCATGTGGGCGGGTGCGTGGAGACGCCCGGCACGGCCCCCTTCGCCAGGCAGCACCTCAGTTTCCCCCATGCTCTCTACGAGCGTCTCTGACGCGGGAGAGGCACGAGAGGTCGTTACCCTGGCGGTCGCACAGCTCCCGCCGCCTCCGCTCCCGCCGCTCGCACCAGCTGAAGTGACACATGCAACTCCTCTTCCCCGGCCACTGCCGCCCGAGAGTCCGTCTGCCAAGTACAATCCCGCGAGACAATTGGCCTTTATCGCGAGATTCAAGCCGCCGCCGGACCGGAAGTCGCAGGATGTCTACAGGCGGAAGGAGGCGGGGTAATCAGAGTACATGCGCATTACGCTGGCGCGTGGGGCGGAGACAGGAAGGACAAATAGCTGACCAGAAGGTGGAGCGCGTTACCCATTCGAAAGGCTGGAGACCTGCTTTCCTAAACTGTGCGTGGGTGCGTGGAAATGTAATCCACCTGAGTCAGAAATAACTTCCTACTGGTGAACCTGAGGAACGTTGCCTCAATGTCTGGAGTGCATCCTGGGTTCTGAGTAACCTCCAGACTATTGGATAAATCACTCATCCATGGGGAAGTTTCAGCTGGATGAAGCGTTTGGTTTCATTTTAATGTCAAATCATGAATTGGCCGAATTTACTTTTTAAAGATGATAGCAGCAGTGTCATCACTAGGGAGATTCGGGGAGTGTGGATTACACCCGATGACACTGTCAGTGGAGGTGACACCAAAAAGACTGTCTATGAAATATTTGTTCAGTGTTTCCGCAGAAAGTTATTTTTGTATTTATTTGAAAAAACAAACAAACCTGTAGTTAACTTGTAACAACAAAAATGTCTTTTCATAGGCCCACTTTACATGTATTAATTAATACACCTACAATGCTAAAGCTCTCTGTTAATTTACTTTTGGAACCTTCTAGTGTGCTCTTCCAGCAGTCCTCTGTCCGTTTGTTGTACTGTGGTGGATTTTGTGATGCTGGAAGCTATACCATCGGTATTTTAAATACCCGCAGGGTCACCCATGGTGCACACACTTAAGCAGAACTTCCAGAATAACACAAAGTTGGAGGAAGGAAAGATGGACCCCTTCTGAAAGGTTAATCACAGAAAACCATGTGAATAGCAACAGAATACTGATATAATACCAGAAGATGAGCCCCTCAACTTAGAAGACACTCACTCATATAATATGACTGCGTGAAAAGCTGCCTCCTCAAATAGAGTTGACCTTACTGTATGTGGATGGAACAAAGCTTTCGATCCTTCACTTACTAATGGAGCACAACTCAAAATGGGAAGAAATAACTGAAAGCATCCATAAATATTCGGAACCTGGAACGTACAAAGTATGAATCTTAGAAAATTGAAAGTCATCAGAAATGAAATGGAATGCATAAAGCTGATCTCCTACACATTGTTGTTGTTAAGTGCTGTCAAGTTGGTATTGATTCAATGACCTTGTATAGGGTTTCCAAGGAGCAGCTGGTGAGCTTAAACCACCAACCTTGCAGTTCAAAGCAACCTTCAGTCCAGCGCATTAACTCACAGCGCTACACCAGGACTCCATATCAATATGGAAGAAACTCAATATTATTAGCCAAAACAAGGCCAGGGACCAACTGTGAAATAGACCATCAATTCCTCATATACAAGTTCAGGATGAAGCTATAGAAAATCAAAAGTCTACAAGAGCCAAAATATGACCTTTAGTATACCACCAGAATTTACAGAAATGTCAAGAATAAATTTGATTCCAACCTCCCTTTTAGTATGGGTTCTTTTTCTTAGTCTTTAACAATAATGGTCCTGTGCAGTATTTCTCCTTCTGTGACTAATTTCCATCAACATAATGTCCTCAAGTTTCATCCATGTTATGTGGTGGCTTACAGCTTCCTTGTTATTCTTCAAGGTAGCGTAATATTCCATTGTGTGTATGTACTGAGGGGAGGGAGGGGAAAGTGAAGCACAGGGTAAGGAATAGACACAGGATAGTTTGGGTGCTGGGGAGGTGGGCAATACACAAGAAGGGGCGGGGGAAGGGAGGAACAAGGTAGATGGGAGAACAATTAGGCAAGTTTGCATGGGCTAAGTGGGACAAGAGATAAATAATGATGAATGTGCAACCTTGGAACAACAGGGCTTTGGGATACAAGGATTGAGACATGCTTGGAATGGGTAAAAGGGGGGAAATATTGTTAAGATACTTGGCTATCTTTTGAATCTTGGTTTCCCTGGCATACCATTATAAAATAGACACTTGAGGGAGAAAGAAAGGAATAGCCAGAAATATCACCACAGAAAGCTTGTAAGTCCATCTTCTGCCTATAACTGATTGCAATACCTAAAATGGGGCTACAACGTGCCCAGTGAGAGAGACTTCCTGCAGAGCCTCTGCATTGCATAAGACCATAGGTGGAATCCTGAACCCCATCCAGAATCTTCTGAGGTAGGAAATTTCCACTTGAAAGGACAAGCAGACCAGCCTAAAGTGACTAGAAGAACAGAAAATACTTCTTGAAAGAAAGACCGACAGGGAAAATATAAAAACAATAACGGCAGTCTGAACAAGCAAGCTGTTCGCCCAGGAAGCATCAAGGCAAGTGGTCGGGTCCCCTCAGAGCAAACCCCCTTCCATGACTAAGACTCAAGAGGAATATATGAGCAGACATGAGATCTGACTGGTGAACATGTTGGTTACGGATAAGGGGAAATGAGGGGAAAACAGCAATGAAGCTGTGAGCTAGTCCTACCACCTTCAATAGACTCCTGTGAACCCAGGTGGAGACCTGGTTGGCCAGCAGTATGGCAAGACCTGGGGACTCCTGGGCCCAGAGTCAGTGACATAGCCACAGAGGACTAAAGTGGAGAGTGAAGTGTCCAGCTGATAAGAAGCGAGGGGATATGCACAAGAATACCCACACTTGCAGATAATACCCACTTGACCTGTCTTCAATGACTGGATGATCAGAGCTCAACTAGAAGAAGAAAGAAGAGGAAAAAAAGAATAATCTGATACAATTTCATGAAGTTGACCTACACTTATGGATGCAGTAGCTCAAAAGAGGAAACAAATCTTTATAGTGAGGATCATTCCCACCCCTTTGGTACACAGGGTAGACAGGGATAGGCAACTTGGACATTGGATACCCAAAATGGGGGAGGGGCTACAAAAGCAAGAAGTGACTGGCTTACAAGCTTTCAAGAGGGAACCTAGATCCAGAGGGCACAGAGGAAGGTAGAATGTCCACTGAATAGTATCAAATCTGTCTGGGTGGAACTGATGAAAAGAGACGGGGATAGGACTCTTGTGGTACAATAGTGAATAATTGCTATAAGGACTGACTGTGAGGGTTGGAAATGTAAAAGTAGACGTTTTATAGCAAAAGGAGGGGAGTGACTGACTTTGCAGTCTAGGAGCGGAGGTCTCTGGGACCATCAAGGAAGAAGAGTGGAGTGTGGGACACTACCCAGAGAAGCAGTGATGCCAGAGATGGAGGCAGAGAGCATGACATGGAGAGATGAAGTGGCTTGGGACTCTAGACCCAGAGAGGAAGAGGGGATGTGTGCTGACAACCAAGGGGCAGGCTTGCGGGGTGTGTACCCTTTGGTTGTTTGATGATGCATGGAGGGGATTGTAATCACGGCAGTGAAACGATATATGATAGGATGGATGTAAAGCTAATGTTCTCTCATGTAAACAATCACATAATTCACAATAAAATGTGAAAAAAAGAATAAATTTGATGCATTAGACACTAACAACTGAAGGCTATCGGAATTGTGGGCCATCATTAACATCATATATTAAGAAAGCAAAAGGTCATTTAAAAGGCCAAAACGAATATCCAAAGAGACTCTGAAACTTGCTCTAGAGACATTAAAGTGACTATAAGAAATTATGATGTAAGAGAACGGATAGAAACATTCAAAGGGCAGCTCGAGATCATGAGATCACATATTATAATGAAATGTGTAAAGACCTGGAGCCCGAAAATCAAAAGGAAAGAACCCACTCAGCATTTCTCAAGCCTCGAGTTTCAATATTGAAAAATTGTGTGAACAAAATATTGACTAATGTAGAAAGTATAAGAAGATTAAAAAAGATTATACAGGGTCACTGTACCAAAAAGAATTGTTTCAAGCATTTCAAGAGGTACCATAGGTCAAGAACTGGTGGTTATGAAGGCAGAAGTCCAAGCTGCATTGAAGGCATTGGCAAGAACAAGACTCCAGAACTGATGGAATATAAATGGAAAAGTTTGGGCAAACTAATGCAGCACTAGAGGGGCTCACTTACCTGTGCCAAGAGATTTGGAAGACAGCTACCAGGCCAACCAATTGAAAGAGATCTGTATGTGTGCCCATTCCAAAGAAAAGTCACCCAATGGAGTGCGGAAGTCATGATCACATACAAGTAAAATTTTGCTGACGGTAATTAAAAAATGGTTCAACAAGGAGCTGCCTGAAATTCAAGTCAGATTCAGAAGAGAACGTGAAATTAGGGATATTACTGCTAATATCAGATGGATCTTGACTGAAAACAGAGAATACCAGAAATGTGTTTACTTGCGCGTTATTGACTATAAAGGCATTCATATCAAACTATGAATAATATTGCAAAGAATGGGTATTACACAACACTTAATTGTGCTCATGAGAAATTTGTATATAGACCAAGAGGCAGTTGCTAGAACAGAACAATGGGATAGTAAATGGTTTAGAATCAGGAAAAGTGTGTGCCAGGGTTGTATCCTTTCACCACATTTATTCAATCTGTATGCTGAGCAAATAATCTGAGAAGCTGGATTACATGAAAAAGAGGGGCATTGGGATTGGAAGAAGAGTCATTAACAGTCTGCAATATGCAGATGATACAACTTTGCTTACTGGAAGTGGACTTGAAATACTTACAGATGAAGATCAAAGACTATAGTCTTCAATATGGATTGCACCTCAATGTAAAGAAAATGATAACCTTCACAACTGGATCAATAAATAACACCATGTTGAACAAAGAAAAGAACAAAGTTGTCAAAGATTTTATTGTACTTGGATTCATAATCAACGCTCATAGAAGCAGCAGTCAAAAAATAAATGTATTGCATTAGGCAAATCTGCTGCACAAGTGTCTTTAAAGTGTTCAAAAGCAAAGATGTCAGTTTGAGGATGAAGGTGTGCCTGACCCAAGCCATGAT